GCTCATATAGACCGCCACGCTCTGCACACACCTTGAGTTGACATGGGCTTATTTGTGCACAGACCCAACGTCAATCCTTTTACAGCACACTTCATGCCATACTGCTGCTACTGCTGCATTTTCACCTCCATTTCCCTTCCGTACCTGATGGCTACCCCACTTTGTCTAGCGTGTGCTGTTTCCGCTCCCCTCCCTTTTACTCAAACTTAATGACTGTTCTCTTCATTCACCCCCGTAAATCAGATTTCTTCCCCTCCAGATGGGTTCTTGTCCTCTCTGATCAACTAATCAATTATATTCTAGTGGAGTTATTCATTTTATTTTTGCTCGAAGCTACTGCCATCTGGTAGAGCTGCTTGCAGCTCCAAAAGTGGCACCAACACCTCTTGTCAGATGTAGCTGCAAAAGCATTTCTGTCCTGTTGGGTTCCTCAGATGATCTGCAGGATGTTTTAGTGGCTCCTGTTGTTTTTAATCCCTCCCTGGAGAGCAATAATGAATCTGACTGTTTCTGAAGCCTGTGCTTAGTGGTTAGGTATTTGGTTTGTTGCTTATGTTTTTTTGTTAATGAAAATACCTCTCCTGGCTGTTTTTAGATTTTGCCGTGGGCTGGCCCCAAAGTGTTTTGAAATGCTCTGAGTGCTTATTGTCTAGCGTTATGCTGAATAGGTAGAAGGGCCCTTTGTTTAAACTGTTTCAGTTCTTTCACTGCTATGAAATCATGTGACAGAGGATGTATTATTTGCTGTATGGGACAAGAGAACCAAGTGCCTTCTATTATCTGAGCTTCAGAGGATTTCCTGAGAAGTGTTCAGCCTTCATTTCTGTCTGTAAGGAAATCCTCTTATCTGGGCAGTGCAATAAATAGTTCTGCCTGCTGTAATAGAAATAGAAAAACGCATTCTTAAAACGTCTGTTTTTAAAAATGTGTGTTTTTAGAATGTATCAGCTAGAATTTTTCTTCTGTAATAAATCCCCATAATGTCATGCTACATATACATCTAACTAGATACACAGAGGTGGAGAGAGGTGGAGGCAGCGTGTTAAAAGAGGGTTTGGTACGCGTTTAGTAATGACGAGAACAGTAAATAATCCTACAGGTTTACAAACCTAATCCAGAATGTCTGTTTGTACCCCTCATGTCTGCTAAAGTCGGTTGGCAAAGATGTTAAAGCCTGTTGATAAAGAGCTTTTTTGCTTTGTATTTTTAAATATTCTGGGAGCTGGCTGGGCGACAGTATTAAGTTACAAGAAGGTAACTGATTCAGGACCTTGACTGAAAGCTGTGGAAGCACTCGTCCTCCTCTGGTTGCAGTAGAGAAATTAGGTGCCTCAGGAATAGACTGCTTCTTTCTCTAGTCTGGCTGTAATCAGTAGTAACGGTCAGTAGTTTAAACTAAGAATCGGATTTTTGAGTTTTGTTGTTTTTAATGTAGAACTTAATTTTTTTCCATGCCTTGCAATAAAGTCGTCGTTTTTCTTAACAGAAGAAATCCACCATGTATGAGACCCACGTCACATGACACTGTTGCTCTTAAATAAGCTTTTAAGAGGTTGGACCAGATGTTGGCCACATCTGTGTTTTCGTTTCATCGAAAATTTCATTTCAACCCTTTTATTAAAGGAGAAAATGATCATTTAGAAATTGTTTTGAAAAGTTTAGCGGCTGGGAAGATCTTTCTGGCATATAAAAAACTAAGGGGCATACTTGTGCCCTGGAGTGAGCCGTATAACGTAGAGCAGAGGAATGTTTATAGCTGGTAGGGTCTCTTCTTGTTGGAAATGATTGCTATGGGAATTTTTAGATCAAAATGGATGAGTTCATTTCATTTCTGAGTTGGCATTCTATAACAAAAGTTTCTTTTTTTTTTAGTGGAAGCGTTAAACTAGGGGTCTGAAGGTACCTTCTTTTCTGAAAAACTCACTGAATTTAATGAATATCTATCACGCTGGCCACAAAAAGGACTACTTGCTGGCAGAGTGGATATCCTGCAACTACTCCCTGTACGGCTATTTTGGGGTCTAAGAAATGCTTATTACGTATAACTTGCTTCTGGATTCTTCTCTGCAATTTGCCAGTTGGCGAATGAGCTTTCCGTCCCTGTTGCTAATTGATCCAATGAGAAAAACTGGCACCTAATTCGGTAACAAGTTATATTTAAAATGACATGTGAAATTGTTCGTAGTGCCTGAAATTACATCATTTTCAGTCTGGCATATTAGGGTTGTATAAGGAAACAGACATCTACTGTACTGTGGCATATTAAATTTTAAATCTCCGATCCAAAAATATAGCAGCGTATAGGAGAAGCGAGGTGCTTAATGATGAATAAAAGCCGTTGCAGCTTGATTTCAGTGGGGATACTTTTGTTATTCGTAAGATGCTCTGGCAGTCTTTGCAGCCAATAATTTGGGGATGCACAGAAGTTTATGGTAAGTGGAGCTGGGGCTTGGGCCCAGAATAGTTCGCAGACACAGATACCGAGTTTTGATTTTCTGGCCTGAGAGTTTTGAAACCTACTAGTGATTTTTGAGGATGGTTCCCTTTTTCTTTGTCCCTGGTTCCGAGCCTGTGTAAACACTTGACTTTTTTGTTTATCCACTGATGACAGGGGAAAAAACCAAAAATCCTTTCTTGATTCAGATAAACCAAGCTGAAAGTTTTGTTTGTTTCCCCAAAAATCTGGAGGGGGGAAAAAAGGGCAGGTGAAACGAAGAGAGGGAGACGAGCTCCCTTCTGCGCTACCTTTTAGTGGTTAAAAGCACTTGCCCAGAGTACGGGAGGCCCCGTTCGATCCCCGTTTCTGCACAAGCTCCCTCAGACCTAGGAGACCAGTTATTGCGGCCTGGGCGCGCTCCCCCATGCTGCTTCTGAGCTGTCGTATTTGGTGTAAGGAATGAAACTTCCCTTGGAGCCAGCTGTACCATCTCCGGGAAAGGCGTCTGGGGCGCTGGACTGCAGTTTTATACTCTTTTTCTCCGTGAATATTGAAGCATTTCCCCCCACCCCGTCCCTGCCACTTCCAGACGGAGAGGCTTGTGCTGCTCTCCCGAATACCCTGGATCCCCGTTTGCGGTGCGGCCCGCAACGATTCCTGCCCGCCCTTGGCTGAAAAAAAATTCCAGGCCTTTTTACCAAAGTAATCTTAAAGGGGCAGAAAAACCAAGTATTTCTTCCCCTTGCTTTCGCTCGGCAGCCTGGAGCCTGCTCTGGCCTGTCGCGGAGGAGGGCAGAGGCGGCAGAGGCGGCAGGGCGGCGGCCTCCGGCTCTCCACAGGGACCGGCCGCCCTTCCCGGGAAACGTTCCCCAAGGCGTTTTCGGTCCGATTTGCTCGAGACCGTCGGCATCGGTGACGCTGAAGTCGCATCTGCGAAGGGAAGTCGATGGGCGGTGTGGTGCGGCTGCTCGAGACCAAACGTTTGCTTCGGGGTGAAAGCCGTTTCGAGTATGATTTGGCACGGAAAGGATTTAAAACTTTCTGTTGATTATTTAGAGGGGATTTGTAAAGGAAGTTCCTGAGTGCTCGGTGTCCGATACCAGTGAACGTCTCTTGTGTCGACCTGGCGAGTCCTTCGCCCCGCTTTACGCCGCGCACCCTTCGTTCATGAACCGCGGTTTTTGCTGGCTGCCCGACCCTGTGGTTTCACGTGCCTCCGGCAGCCGGTTTAAACGTTTCCGTTTTGTCAGACAGAGGATTATTGTTATCTTCCGGCAACGCTGCTAGTTCCCACCTTTGCTTGTTTCCGCTCAAATCTCAAGGCCCTGCATCCGTAAAAACCTGCCATTTGGTCAGAGAGATGCTGCTCCAGCGCCGGTGCCGGCCGGATCCCCCTCCGCCGGCCCAGCGCCGCCCTTCTCGCTAGCTCTGCGTTTGGGAAAAAACACCAAACTGGGGGGGATCAGGCTGTTCAAAGGCCTTGAGGAATGGGGGGCACCTAACCACGAGTGGGGAGCAGCACACGTGAAGACACCAAGCCGTTCTGCAGCGCTTTATTTTCAGTTTGCACCCCCCCCCCCCCCCCAAAAAAAAAATAGTTGTCTGTTGCCTGATGCTGATTAGATGGACTGGAGATGACCAGGTTGCTTCATTCGTCAGAATAAGTCTTCCTCGTATAATTTATTTCCTTCTCTACCGGGACTGCATTAATAGTGCATTACTACTGTACATTGATACGACATGGAAAATCAGTTTTTGCTGCTGTGAATTTTGCCAATCCCTAATTAGGCCTCGGTTTTGTGCTATAACACTTTTCGCTGGATAGAATAAAAAAGCTCTCTGTTTTCAGAAGGCTTAATAAAAGTAAAAGTATACAGTGAAATTGTAATTAAGGAAACTCATTAATGCTAAGCATTTATCTAGACCCTTTCATAGCTTTTAAAAATTACTTTACAATTTGGAAATGTTTTAATCCCATTTAACAGATGGAAAAGCTAATATACAACTTTTTACAGAACTGATGTGGGTTAAGTGGTTCTGAAAAATCAGATAAGTCAGAATCGAGCATAAAGCCAGGAGGGGACTGTCAGCACGATGCAGTATTCACTGGTCCATGCTGCTTCCCTGACAACAGAAAATATTTTCTAAGTCATAGTTTACAGACAACTCATGGGTCTGTGGGCTCTGGCAGAAAAATTCATGGTATGATGAAAGAAAAATGATGTCATCTTCCTAAAATGGTTTCCCCAACTTCACAATGAACATTTGTGGCTGTAAACTACAAAGGACAAAAAAAAAAAAGCTGCTGGAAATGTCTGACAGATTTTTAGTACTAAAGAGGGCTGTACTGATTCCTGAATTGTAAATTTTTTCAAAGTGGTAAATTTTTGTCTGTATATACCCATCTTGAAAATATTCAGAGACATATTAAGCCTCACTGATGAAAGCGGAAGGATGAAAATTCCTGACAGTTGTTTTGATAAGTGCTCCTGTACCTTAGAACTTGAACTGCAATTGATTTCGACCAAGTATCCACCTAATGAAAATGTGTTCTTTTACGTAGGTGAAAACACAGGAGATGGTGAATTAGATCTCAGTGGAATTGACGACAGTGAAATAGATAGGGTAAGATATCGTTTTATCCTGCATCTGTCTACATTTGGGTATCGAAGGAAGAAAAATGGTTCTTATCTGGTTTGTCCTCTCCCCTCCCTGCTCCACTCCAGCAGTGCTTCGTTTTGATGTACGTAGAGGTTGAAGTGATTTCGGCGATGTGAGTTCAAAACTAATGTTCATGCAAGCCCATGAATTTAGTATGGTCCTTTCCCGTTTTATATGTAAGGGACTGTTGCTCTCTTTCTTACTGTGCTGGAATAATTACATTTTAGAACATCTTTTACTCTTAAGAAGGACTTTTAAAAGTTTTTTGTAGCTTTGACTTTATTATTTAATTAAGATGTATTCAACATATGATGCTGCCATGGAAACTGAACTGTAAAAATGGCCTGCACAACTTCCATGCTTTTTCAAAGGTTTCTGTAACATTTTCTGTATTTATTATTATTTGTGTGGCAGCGAAATATATCCTTTACCGTATGGTCTGCATGTATGTGACAGACAGCTGTGGAAAATGACTTTCTGAAGGTCACCCAGCAGGTCAGTGCTTGAACACAAGACAGAGTCCAGCTCTTGTGATCCTTAGTGTGATGCCTTCTCCAGTCAAGATGCTGGTTTAAAGGGAAAGGTGTAATTTGAGCCAATAATGCTAATGCTAGAAACTCCTTTCGGGGTACAAAGTCTTTGAAAACTATGGAGTTGCATAGATATTGCTAAGAGCTTAATTTGACCTGCAGAATATTGTTGATGATGGATGAAGGAGTAGGAAAATGCTCAGCTTGACCTCAGCAATGAAAGTGAGTTTGTCAGGCTGGCAGTTAGAAAAAGTCTTTTGTAAATGGAGTAAACTAGGTATGGAGGTAGCAAGGAGACCATAAATGTGAAACCTCACAGAGGTGATTTTAATGCTTTTCAGGATAGCAGATCTATAATTTAAACAAAGGCTAGGAAAGAACAAACAGATTTTCTCCTCCTCCTAGTCTCTGTAGTGAGGTCATAATTCTACTTTTATGACCTCACGTTCATTTCCATGGCAATAGACGGTAATATTGTAAGCCCAAGATTATGAACTCTCTAAAAGTGTAAGAAGGATGAATAACTGAGCTATGAGGAAGTAAGCTTTTACTATTATGACCTGCCTTTAATAGAGGCAGATGAAGCAGTGAAATTATTGGTCTGATAAACCAGCGGTAGCATGGAGGTTTTGTTTGCCTTGTTTGCCCTGATAGGAAGGGCTCTTTCCTGCATTACTTTTATTTGATTAGAGCTATTTTTCTCATAAAATCCTTATGTGTTCATTTTACTTTGGAGAAAATCTGGAAGGCTAAAAAATACAAAATGTGGAAATATCAAATTGTTCTACTAGCACTTAAACATCGTTTACAAGTGTTGGGTCAGCTCCATAAAAATAAAGTGTCTTGTTCATGAAAGATGATCCAATTTGTCTTCTCTGTTCTGCAGAAGTTCCTCATTCCCAAGGAGCATCAGCATTACAGAACCTTTCCTTCACAGACAGTTGTGCTAAATATTGGGTTGACTTTTATATCTTAAGTAATTGAAGAAGGGGATCTCCCTCTTCCTCCCTCCCTCCCTCCCCCTTTCTGTCTGTCTGTCTTTCTGTAATATATCTGAATAGTTCCAGGTGTGTTTTTCAGCTCCACACATACTAATGATGTTACTGAGACTAAAAGGAGATAACTGAAAAAGTTTAGATATGGGCACTGAACCCAACTCACTAAAAGCTGGAGGACTGAAAAAACCAACAAACTAAACTAGTTTCATCCACACAGACATGGCGGTGAACTAATAGTCTTAATAACTGTGCCTAAACCTTCACAGAAGCCTAGCCAAAAGACACATGTTTCTGTTTTGGTAGCACAGAGCAATGGTTCCCATACTGTTTTGAATTATAGACCACCATCAACATACAGAATTACTTGCAGACTACAATGTCGTCATGGTAGTCGCTCGTACATCTGAAAAAGATCATGGAAACAGGATCACTCCGTAGGTTAATTATGGACCACTTGCAATGAGTCCTGGATGGCTATTGGTCACCCCATAATAGTTTTAAAACCACTGGCTAACACTGTTTTTTTTTAAACACGCCACTGTTTCTGCTAGCTTTAAAAGTTACTGGAAATGCTCTGATTATTGCATCTTGGTTATATTTTCCTTTGTCAATATATTTTTAAAAACAAAATGCAAATAGACCTTGGTAGTGTTTTTTCAATTCATTTTTTTTCTGTGGTTTTCAAGCTGATTTCTGAAGGTAGATGAACTTTGTTTTGCCTTTTAGTATATACTTAACGAAACAGAAGCTCAGATAAAAGCAGAGCTGTGGATGAAAGAAAATGCAGATTATTTGAAGGAACAAAAAGGTAAGGATATAGAACTGAAATTTTCCTTTTGGCCAGTGTTGCTGAAACATACAGTCTATGTAGATCTTCATGCCGGTTACCCTTTTGTCATCTTTCAGAAAAAGAAGCAAGAATAGCAAAAGAGAAAGAACTTGGGATTTATAAAGAGCACAAGGTATAAAACTGTGCACTAATTGTGTGTGTTTGAAAATGTCCTGGAAATTCATTACATCTGTTGATCACCTGCATGTAGGATGTATGGGGATAATGGTGCAGGTCACCACTAAACCAGCAAAACTTATCATATGCCTACATGTTACTGAAATGCAAAGCTCTAAGTTTTCAGGTGGTGAGTAAAACACTTTCTTCTTGCCTGAACTTTTTAAAAATTACTATTATGAGAAAATGCTTTGCATTGCAAATTCAGAGCTGGTTCACTGCATTCATGATTACTGTCCTAATTGCTTGCTTATTTAAATACAATTCTGAAGACATGCCTGATTTTTTTTAACGTATGCATGTGGAATTTGTTTGTACTTGCTATAACTTCAGTCGTTTTCTGTGCAGTTACAATAATGATTTCTTTATGAAGAACTGAAGAGATCTTTGTTACAGTAACTTGAAGGAATATTTTGTTCTACCTTTCATAAAGAATGTGACATTTATGTTAACAAATGGCATGTCCTGTCTCCAAGTTTAGCAGTTTAAAGCAGCCTAATTGGTTGTATAGTCACGATTTACAGCATTAGTATTTTGTGTAATTGAGCAAGTGACAAGTCAGATCTGTGCACAATCTTCTACATGCAGCTAAAAATCCATGCTAGTTTTTAGTGTGTATCCTATATCCTTTTTTTGACTAATGTGAAAGGCAGAGTTTCCCACTTCCCCTAGGTATTTCAACAATAAAAACAAAACCAGACAATGAACCACTGTTTTATGCTTCAGAGTTTCTCATTCATCCCGCACTTACAGAGACGTGGCATTTTACCAGCAATTTTCAAAATTGTATAACTCTTTGGCACAGAAGAGTAGCTCAGACACCCACCTTTTTGTTCTGGCAAAATAGGAGTTTTTCTCTAACTGTGTATTGTTTCTGACAGCTAGAGTAGAACTTGATTAATATAGTGCTTTCCAGTTTCAAGGTAGCACTTGACCCATGTAGGTAAACAGAGGGGCTATTATACATTAAAAAATAAATCTCCTGCAGAGCTTGATGTTAACACCTGCTTTTGAAAAGGCAAATTCTGAATGAGAAACAGAGGATCTTTTTTTCTACCTACCCAGGCATGAGACATGGATAGAAATGTTCTCCAGTGTCATTTCTCTTTGTCTGAATTTGTGCAACATCAAACTGTAAAGCTTAATGTTAGACTTGGGCTTGCAACATTTGGCCAAGACGGGAGGGCCTCCTGTTGTGTGCAGGTGACATCACCGTTGCACTTGTGTGCCTGTAACATCCTGTTCCTTATCCATCAGCATTAATGGCCGTCCATGCTTATAAAGCTGCTTCTGATATTTTTGGCCTTTTTCAGTTTGGAGAAAGAGCGGGGTGAATATTCTCATATGCAGCTTTCAGACTTTGTATAAAATCCTGCTGTAGTTTTGATACTGACTTATCGGAGATGGAGTAGTAGCCCGTCCTAACTCTAATTTTGAAAGCAATTTCAGTGGGTGAATTTCTTTATTTATATATTGGGTGATTTTATCAGGATCCCAGTTCCTGTAGCAGGAGTACATTCCTTTTTTTCCGTGTGTGAGAAATGGCCCGTGTTTTTTTTCTGGCAGCAGTACAAATACGAAACACTTATCTAGGTAAAGAATTTGTAATAAACTATATGGGCATTTGGCAAAAATACAAAAGGGAACACTTGTCTCCTGGAGAAGAGAGATCTCTTACTCCTGTTCAGTCACAGGACAGGGAGCACTGACTTCAGCTGAAC